GGCCTGCCCGGGAGGTGGGGAGGGCCCTGGGCCAGTCAGATGACAGATGGTTTTCTAAACTGTTTTAGGACGTGTTTCCGACATTCTGGGTGACAATTTCTTCTTTGGGTTGCTTATTTTTGAGTGTTTGGATTCTATAAAGCAACACTGGGTTTAGCCAGGAATGTTTGAACCATCTCTAGAAAATGCTGGTGGTTGGAGGTGCAGGACATGCTGGGGAAGGGGTGGAGAGTGCTTTAAGCAAACACAGCATAGGGAAAATTCATTTCATGATGGACAATTCGGGATGGCTATGTGCATCACAAGAGAGTGTTTCATGAAATCACAGCCTGTTGGAGCCATAAGGAAACTCCGAATTTTCTCATCTCCTCTTTCTGTGAGTGGCACAGAGGCCCACTGACTCATCCAAGGTCACAGAAATAAGGAGTGGCTGTGCCAGGACCATATCGCCGGCAGTCCACACCCAGGCCGGCACCTTTTCGTACCGGGCAGGGGAGAGGATGCAAAGAAAGACGTGCATTCCCTGATACCCTGCGGCCGACAACAGCGGCCCCCTTTCAGTGTTTACTAAAAACCAAGGACACTCCAAGGCTTCCTCTAAATCAGGGATTGTCTGCCTCCCCCGTGCGTCGGAAGCCCCTGGAAGCCCCTGGAAGGCTAGAGATGTGGGTCACACCTGATTCTCCGTGTGTTGTGCAGGCTCCCGCGGCCAGGCCAGAGCCCCACTGCTCTGAATGGAGGCCCCGCGGTGGGTCTCACAAGAGAGGGTCACAAGAGTTAGATTCATTGTATTGTCAGGAGGACCTTTCCTTCCACAAGAAAGTGGAGTGATGGACTGTGCAGATGTGCACCACAATTTAACTTTTGGAGTTTTGTTTGTTTGTTTGTTTTTTTAATTTTAGAGAGCGTGAGCAGGGGAGAAGGGCAGGGGAGAGAGAGAGAGAGAGAGAGAGAGAGAGATGCCAAACGTCTCCCATAAGGCGGAGGGGCGTGAAACGACCTACAACCCCTGGGATCATGGCCTGAGCTGAAATCAAGAGTCAGATGCTCTACCGACTGAGCCACCCAGGCACCCCTCACTTTTTGAAATTTTTGAAAGCCTTTAAACGGAAGGTTCTTGCCCTTGGCTGTATACTGGGATCACCTGGGAAGCACTTAAAGGTCCACTGTCCAGGCTGTACCCCTAAACCAGATAAATCAGAATCTCCGGAGGTGGGGCCCGGGACTCAGCATTTGTTAAGGTTCCCCAGGTGGTCCAGTGGGCAACAGGGGTGAGGGTCTGCACGTGAGAGAGCAGGGTCCTCTCTCTCGGTGGCTGCAGTCCAGCACCTTCCGCTGGTTAATTCTGCTCCTGGCCCCCACTCCTGTGGGCATCTGAGTTAGCCACCCCTGGGGTGGAGGATCACGTGAGGAGAGGCCACTAAATGTTCAGGTGGCACTGCCTTGCGCTTGTAGTTTCCCCAGGGCAGTGACTCCCAGCCCTGGCTCTCATTCACCACTTCAGAGCATCCTTCCTGACCATCATCAGCTGCTGTTCCACAAGAACCTTCTCTGGGGCAGACTCTGGGCTAGGTCTTAAGTGGGGCATGTGACTCAGTCCCCACCCTAGAAGAATTTGTCACCCAGCGAGAGAAATGGGGCGTGCACGTAAAAATAACTGTGCTTAGGTAAGGCAGAACCCGGTAAGTGCCACAGAAGCAGTAAAAAGTTGGCGTGGCATCACATAATTCTCAAAAAAAGTCAGAAGTGCTGTTCACTTCTAATTTGCCATAAAGTTTCTCACGGCTCTGAAACGTCCAGAAAAGCGTCTTGTTCACTGTCAGTGGGATGGCGACAGCTTTTACTTAGATGAGTTAGTAACCTCAGAGGTGTGTTCGCGCCAGCCCCAGGGCCACCGCTTTCCAGGTTCGTCATCCTCGTACATCAGAAGACAGGTCCATGCGGGGTCGGAGGTGAGGGAGCGTTACAGGCCATTCTGGTCTCCCCTCCTTGCAGTAGACATGAATTGATTACTTCGGGTCCAGAGAAGCGAAGCACCGTCCCCAAGTTACAACAGCAAGGCAAGGCCATGGGGGGTCGGAGACGTTGACACCAAGCACCGTGATCCTTCTGTTACCCCGTTAGAGGGGCCGAGGAACTCCAGACTAGCAACCTTGGGTCTTTGGGTGTGGCTGCCGTTAACTAAGGCATGGCACCTGCCCAGCCCTGAGTTCCACCATTAACATTTTACTCTTCTGTACCAACGGGAGGAGCAGACCACATTCCTGATACCCAAGTTCACCCAGGTGGGCTGCCTAATCTCGCAGGCCCTGAGATTTTATCAGCAAAACATTTTTCTCTTTTCTGCCTGATTCACTACTAAGAAGTGGGAAGTATTCGAGCAGGAGGGTCCTGGCTGCCCTCTTTGGCCCAGTCCTTGTTGTCAGAACTGAACAGTAATGCATACTCTGATTTTGAACAAGGGAAGGTTAGCTCCACTGAAATGGCATTATGAAGCTGGGACAGTATGAAGAATTACAGGCGACCGTTATGGGGAAAGAATTCCAGCTTCCTGTGTGCATCTGACCATCTGACCATGTGGCTCGTCATGGAGAAAGTGGCAGAGCCCTCTGGGCGGTGGTGGGGGCGGGGGGGCAGTCTGCCTTAGAGGCAGGGCTGATGGCTGGACAGGCCTCAGCAACATGGCAGCTAACATTCATTTAAACTGACTCCCCGCAGGCATTCATCTGAACATTTTGTGTATGTTAATCCTGCACTGACATCATCGCCCCCTTTACAGATGGGGACATCAAGGCACAGAAGGGTTAAGCAACTTGCCCAAAGTCAAAGGTTGCCAAGAGGTTATGCTAGTAAATGGCTGAGTCAGGATTTGAATCCAAGAAAGACTTGTGCTAACCTGCCTCACAAGAAGCCTGGTTGCTCCCTTCGTGCATTGGCCAGGCAGGCTCTGCTGAGGAGGAAGCCCTCCCCACATTCCCAGCGGCAGAGAAGGGATGGTCATCTCCCATTCTGGGTGGTGAGTGGGGTGCTAGGGCAGCCATGGGCGCTCATGGGCCGGGGGCTGTGCCATATCTTTGCTTGGGCCTCGGCCCCCCCAAGAAACCTGAGCCCCATCAGACCTGCTGCCTAATTCCCCAAGGTCTTACCCCAAGTACCCGCCATGGGAGCAGTTCTCTGCTTGACAGCCCAGAACTCCTCTCCCTTCAGAAATAAAATGAGAGGTTTCCCAGGCACGTAGGCTGCCACAGGTGACCTCTGGCTCCTCAGGGCCTTGGGGGAAATGCTAAAAACAGGATCACAAGGCAAGTCTGCGAGGCCCTGCACCCCCAGCTCTTCCAAGCCCAGCCCAGGAGAGCTCATTCCCACCCGGGTCCGTGCTAGGGCCTCCTGGTCCTCAGGCGCATCTTGCTGTCCTAGAGACAGGCTGTCCTCCACAGGGACAGCTTTAGGCCAGGGTCCCCATGCTTCTTTGGCCTCTGACAGCCCCTGGCTGGGGCAGCCCCATCCCAACACACACACACACACACACACACACACACACACAC